TTTAAAAACACAGAGAGTGTAAAACTATATATATATATATATATATATATTAATAATAAATTTGAGTCTTAAATTTTAATAGAATATATTTTTATTATATTCTCTTTCTCTTTTATGATTCATTATTTTATCACTTATTTTATATTTTAAGAATTATTAATTATACTTTTTCCTTTTATGTTAAGATGTCAATTTCTTTAAAAAAAATTATATAGGAATTTATTTATTTTTACTAAATTTAAAATGTTGCAGTATACTGGATATTTACTTGTAATATTAATGAAATGGAGAGGGAGAAAAGGATCCCTTTTTCCTCTTTATTGGTTATTTAATACACAAGGAAAAGTAAAGGCAGTAAAATTAACAATGCTACTTTTGAAGATTATTATAAAAATGGAAATTTGATGGCTGTTCTTTCTTTTTACTCTTATTTAAAGAACTCCAAAATAGGGAAGATTAATAAATTCCTACTTTTTTACGTCTAGACATATCATGATATCAAGGTCATTTTCAATCTTTATTGACACAACAACAGAAAGTTAGGTCTTGATGCATCAATATGCCAAACTTTTGTTAGTGGGATCTACCATATTCATGGTTCTACATTTCTATAACTCACTTCCTCCAAGTAAAGAGCAATCATGGTTAAAAGAAAACATAATCCACGAATAAACAAATTGGACTCAAGCTTTCTTGAATTCGATTTCATAGACAATCAAAATCATGGTGGACATCGGTTGGAGTGTAGGAAACGTGACAAGGCAAATGGGTTCATGTAAGATTTCAAGTTCTTTTTTGTTATTAAAATTGTGAGAGACAAAATTTTAATAGGTCTTAAATATTTTAATTTAATGATTCATTTGCTAATTCTATTTTATTCGAATACCGTTCTTTTTATTTAGTTCTTTTGAGAATTTTTTAATAAAATTCTCTTCAGAATTTTATTGATATTGGAAGTGGATTTTTATTTTTATTTTTTAGAATTTTAAATGTAAAAATCTCATTCTTAAATCTTTCAAACTTTCACTTTACAATAAAAATAAATTATATTTATTCTTTTTGTAAATAGCTATGATATATCTAATGAAAATGTTACCGAAAAGAGTCTATTCTCATGTTGATATATTCCTTTTATAAAATGTTACTTTTGCTCGATCAATATCATTCCTATTTTAATTGAAACAACAGATTTGAGCTAGAGTGAATATATTTGAGCTAGTAACAAAATGTGACCTTTATTACGGGTAGGGAAGACAAGTAACTTATATCAATGGATAATATTTGAATTTATTTCGCGGTAAATACTTGATTCGATCATGTATGATTATGAATAATATCTAATTTATTAATAGATATCCATACAAGTATGAAGTGGGTACAAAATGGAATTTTAACTAAAGGGATGGATACATGTGTCTTATTATTTGTCTCGAGAGTACTTATTGCCATCCCTAATCACTTCACATGACATGACAAATTGACAACTCATGATGAATGTAATCTAATTAAATCAATAAGTCCACAAAGTTCAAAAATTAATATCAATTATTTATCTTTAATATTTTAATATATTTAACATCAAATATAAGCTTAACCTTATTCATATATATTTTTTAATTTTTAAAAAAATTCACAAATATTCATAGATATTCATAGATACTTATGAATATTTATAAAATTCATGGATATCCGCTTAATGGATATCTATACAAGTATGAAACGGGTACAAAACATAATTTTAACTAATGGAATAGATATAGATGTCTTATTATTTGTCTCTAGAGTACCCATTGCCATCACTAATCACTTAAGATGATATGAAAAATTATGAAAAATTCACGATCTATGATGAATGCAATCTAATTAAATCAATAACTCCACAAAGTAGCATAAGAGGGGAATAAAAAAACTTCAAAAAGTCGTCTCTGTTTGATTACTCTTCTATGTATAAGCAATTTACGTGACTAATTCCCCGGAAAAAGCAGTTGAATTTGTAGAAAAAATAAGAGAGACGAGGTAATACTAATGTTGTGGGTGAACGTAGCAACTCACTGTATTTTTTATTGAATAAGAGATGGCCTTTAAATAGCCATTTTACAACGTACTGAACTAACAAGAAGATAATAAAATATCTTATCAAATCAAAACTTATCAAAAAACTATCTTATCTAATCTGAAACAAAATAACTCAAAAGATAAATCAAATAATTCCAGATAACTTAAATCGGATATCTCGGATATCTCGGA